CAAATCACGGGCCATTAGCCAGCCCTATCATAAAGTGTTAGATATAAGCTCTAGTGAAGTGCATCAAACCGCCCCTATAGTTATCAGAACTATATGAGCGTAGTGTTTACCTCTAGATATATATAATTATAAGAATTATATATACAAACTACCTAATCAACGGCTCTCATAGCCGCCTAAGCTCAAATATCAGAGATAGCGGGACGTATTGGCGCTTAAAGTCACTTTTCACCTATCTTTCCAATACCGATCCTATATCTCATATCATTCTAATCCAAATTCCCTTTGTTAGAGTCAAACCTCTCACACATCCTATCCAAGGGAACGACAAGTTGTTACAAAATTAGATCGCGTCCTCTCACCTAGCCATGCCTAAGCGCAATTTTACCAGGTTAGCTACATCTCGAGCAGAGTCCAGCGCGACAGCGCGAGAAGCATATAATATGTCCAGAAACCCTGAGAGCCGCAACCAAATGGTAAGTGAAGCAACGGGAGATGAGGTACGACGACATTATCTAACTTATGGGAACATTGTTGGCGGTAGGTACTCTCTCAATTCAGTGACTCTAAGTGTGAAGGTATCATCACTTCCATCTGGGAGTGAGACTATCCTTATATATTTTGTTAAAATAGCAAGGTCAAATAATTTGGCTGGCGCGTTTCATTCAATCTATTGCAATCTCTAAATGTGAATGATGTTTCCATCATCTAACTCAGTACCAGACTCAGTACAAGTTGTTTGACTTTTGACTTATAAAACATTTTAATAATTTCTGTGTATTTCTAACATTACAATTGCATTCAAAATTTTATCTCCAATTGAAGAACGAGTGACACGAAAAAGATACGCAGATGGTATAATTATCGGAATTTAATTGGACTTTTCTCATTTTATAGGCTTATTTAATACCTACCTTTTTTGTATAACTTTTTTTCGCTATGAATAAGTTTTTTTTTACGTGAGTCAAAAAACCACTTTTCCATAACTTTGACCACTGTTAAAACAAAGTTTCCCAACTAGTCTCGAGTTGATTTTTTGATATTTTCTTTATAACACGTTTCTGAACAATATTCCGCAGAAAAACTTCTAATAGTATTTTTTCCCCGAAAAAAGCTATAATGACTGGCCTATCAATGTATATGCAGTCAATATAATGTTTACATACTATTTTACTTACTAATACTGTAATTATAAGACAAATATTTTTCTGTATATTATTCTATAAGAATTTCCAATTTTCAATTAAATGTATTTGTTAATAGGTAGATATGTAAAAATATGTTAACTCGGCTACTAACAGGTTTACTACTAAAGCGACACATTGAATCATACGAGTAAAACAAAATAATTGTACTTCTTTATTTAGGTAGGACATTTTAAAAATCCATTACATCATAATGTTACAAAGACAGTATACTCTAGAAATAAGGTATATACAAAACAATACAAAACTCGACTAAAAATTTCTGATGCCATGTCAAATGCATATTACATCAGCTTGCTGTAAATAAATACTTATATAAATATTTATAAGGGATCATTTGAGAATAATTTACTTTTTATAGTTAATTTGAAAGTATAAATAAAAAAGGCTGGTGTATTTCCATTACTTAGGCACTTAAAAAGTTTGTTAAATGACGATTTTCAATAATCTTAAGTAAATCTCGGTGTGGAATTTAAACGAAGGTATATTTAATAAATATTATCGCAGTGTGTTTTTAATGCTGACGTGCGCTCAAATGTAATTCATTTTTTGTTAGGGAAATAAATTGTCTTGAAAAAAAAACACCATAGCATAAATAGCTGGCAGGGACCAAACTGCCATATAATAGTCGCCCATTGTTAAGTTGAGCAGAAAATTAAATGTTGATTTTTATTTTCTGTATTTCCATGTGTTATGACAATATATTATTGGAATACAGGTAATAAAATATTCAACAAATTTTCTCACTCCTTGATATGTGCCCTTCCCTACTTGAAAATTTTAAAATGGCATATTAAGAATATGCCAGGATTCCAGACAAGGCGGATAAGTGTTCAATGAAGCGCTTAATGTTTATATTATGCACATTTGAATGACGGAAAGTCAACGAGTTTTACTTAAGGTTTATTTAATTTTCAGTAAGTTTTCGCTGTCCTTCGGCAGGACATGATAATTGATACAGTAACTGTATTAAAGTACGAGTTGGCCGACCTGTCATACGTCCTTTTGTTAAGTAGGGATACACCTTGTGCTCACTTTTAAACCCTACACCGGTTATATCAAAATGAATCCAATCAACACAGTCTATAAACTCATTTAGAAATGCAGCGGCAAGGCAAGCTGAGCCGTGCCCTAGACCTTTATTATTAACATCATGAGATTTGAAGCGAGTCACCTTTTTGCTAAAGAACTTCCAAATTGGCAGTCTCCAGACTCTGTCACCAGTGATCACGCCTGCTTTGCGGACTTGGGACCACATAGTTTGAGAATTTGAGAAAACTCCACTAGCAGCAGAGCCAAGAGCCGCCCTAACACCCGGTGTTAAACTTGCAACGTCTATTACTAAACGTGGTCTGTGTCTGGCCTGTCCATATATCAAAGCATCAGCAAGAATTAATCTGCCTTCATTATCTGTGTCGGTCACCATAATAGACTTTCCATTCATTCCCATTACTACGTCTCCACATTTCATAGCCATACCGCTTGGCATATTTTCACATAATGGAATAACAGCTTCAATGTTTATTGGTAAGCTTAAAGCAGATGCTGCACGTATAGCAGCAATAATGGCAGCTGCACCACACATATCAGCTCTATACTGATCCATACCTTCGCATTTCTTTAAACATAATCCTCCACTATCAAATGTTATACCCTTACCACACATGAGAACCGGTTTTTGTTCTTGAGGCGCTCCACAATAAGATATTTCAACAAATACTGGTGGTTCACATGATCCACGAGCAACAGTTAAGAATGCGTTTAATTTTTTCGATTCTATCCAGTCCTTATCATGTACAGTAACTTTAATACCGCAGGGACATAATTCATTTACAGTTTCCTGAGCAAAATGTAGAGGTGTCATTTGATTTGCTGGAGTGTCAGATAAACGTCTCGCTAAATTTTGAGATTCAGCTTTGAACAAACCTCTTTGAAAACTTTCAGCATCACAGTCATCAAACAATTCTAATGTAGGAATAACTTTCCAATGTTGTCTGGATTTGTTTTCTTGATATCTCCATAAAGCTAGAGCACTTCCTTCTGCTGCTTGCTCAGGATGGCCTAACCCTTCTATTAGTATTCTTGTGACACCTTCTCTTTTTAAAACTTGAGCACCCATTCCTGCAGCTTCACGTACTGCCTCCAATCCTTCGTCAATGGCTTCCATCTCATTGTAGGCGAGTTTTTGTTTGCCAAGTGTAACCACGGCAATAGACCAAAACTCCTTATCAATGTTATTAAAAATTTTTGCTTTTCCTCTTTTTAAGTCACCTCCAGCCCTAAAAATAAAAATATGTACTGCTTCGTTCCTTTATAATATGAAAATACAATTTATGATTATATCTGTATCAAGACGTGATAAGATAAGCAAGGACCAAAAGACAGGAAGAAGTGAAATGGCCCACACACTAGCCAACTCGTATAAGTTGTGCTACAGATTGGACAAACAGTCAGTGTAACAAGTTGTTTAATATTTAGGCCAAAAACACAAACGATCTGAACATCAATAAGTCGTTAAGATTTGTAGTACCTACCAACATGTTAGTTAGCAGTTGAGGATAAAACCATTTTATTTGAATGCAGTTTGTGTCATGGCACCGACTATTTCGAAAAAAACTATTGCGTTACTAGTGATTGTTTTTATTGGATGGTAATAAAGAAAAAGTTAAGTAAAAAAGAAAATAGTGCAAAAATTGGTTATTGCAGTGACAAATTTTCTGTAAAAATTATGTACCACTGAATCAGTATATTTTAAAAATTGCGATAAATTACATCAAGCGCGGTTGTACAATAAATCTTTGACCTGCAAACTTCCAAGTTAGGTTGATGAAACTTGGGCTATCGAGATAAAAATAGGAAAAATTCGATGAGTTAGTGTCAGCCAGTGACGGACATAATGGAAAGCATTGTCAGTAGAATTTAAAACCTGTTGAGTATTTTGAAAATTGGATAAGTGCATTTAGTGCCTAATATTATTTGTAGGAAAAATAGAACAAACTATTTTCAAATTTTTTTTTTAATTTAAAATCTCAGTTGATTAAATTTAAAATAACTCGAGAAACTATTTGTTCTACAAAAAAATGTATAGGAATTTTATGTTCGAAATTCTATTTTAAATATAGTATAACTAACAAAAGTTTTAAAAACTTTACTAATAGCGGGAGCTAAAAAAATGTAAGTTTCGACGCCTATGACTTTGATGGCTACACTATTTTAAACTGCACTTTGAACAAAAAAAAATATTTTTCTTTCAACTGTGTGATAAGTTTATTTTAAATTAAAGAAAAGATTGAAAATAGTTCGTTTTCGAATAAAGTTAAACATATTTTTTTATAGAAAATTCAAAAAAGTAAGCAGTAGAATAAAAATTTAGCGGTTCTTAATGAAAGTGCGTCCAGTTTCTTCACTATTGTTTGACAAATTAGTATATTGATTCAATGATTTTTTACCTTTAATCAATTATATTATTAGACTAAAATTCATCTAAGTTAAACATTTTAAGAGATATTTCAATAAACTTGATATTTTTTTGAACATTCTACCTCAAAAACGTTGAGATTTCGAAGTATTTTTATAAAGCTGTTGTCATTATTTTTACTGGTTCTACCGTCCTCTTTATTTTTTTAAATGTATCTGGGTCCATATATTATATCATTGACAAATGACAATTGTTCGACATTTTGAAAAAGTAGTTAGCCAAGATAATTTTATTATTATGTTATTCAACAATAATATGAATATGTATTGATACCAAATGATTTGAAATTTAATTCGTTTGAATATTAATTTTTTTTCAACCAATCTTAAAATACGAATCGGTGATTTGAATTTATTTTTCAGAATCTATTTATCGGTGATTTGAATTTATTTTTCAGAATCTATTTATCTATTTATTATTTTGAGAATTCGGTAGAGAAATCGAATAAGTTTTGAGAACATTGTTATGATTTTTTCATAGTTCAATTATTAAAAGAACGAGATACAGCAATTCTTTTTTGGTAAGTACCTGGGTACAATGAGATGAAAATTCGCGCTAGTTACTTATTGCCTTCAAATTAACTGCTGGTGCCTGTTCATTTTTAATACAAGTTTATGAATCAAACCGATTCTAAAAGTTAAAGATACCGAATCGTAAAAACGAATAAATTTTTTACTGTGTCAATCGAACAAGGCTTATCTAATATTTTTTCAATTATTATACACCTTTACAAAAATGGAAAGTTTGAGACGAGTAAATTAATGACAAGGAGACGATTTTTTAATATTACTGGTGAAGTAGCTTCTACAAACAATTACTTACTTTTTTATTAAATCGAATAATTTGCCTCCAAGATGGTCATTAAATTTTGCTGCTGCCTTTGTAAATACTGGTTCCTCATTATCACCCTCGTATATGCCCAAAATTAATCCTTTCTAAAAGATAAAATACGTAACTCATTAACATGACATGAAAATTCGTGCTGTCATTTTATGCTATACAATTTTTAAAAGAAAGAAAATTAATTATATTACTTCTAACCTTTCTGATATGACACATAGTTACTAATTTTCAGCAAAAGTAAAATAAAAATAGAATTGTCAAATTTACCTTTTCATCGCCACAGTCTTCTGAACAAAATTTACGTATGCCGCATATACGGGGTAATCTGGTTCGAAAAATATTCAAATTCCTCAAAAATGTAATTGAAGACATATTTGACCATTATTTTATATACATTTTACGTGAAAATTTTGGACATAAAAATGAAAATATCGAACTTTTGTTTATTGGTTACCCACTTCATTTGAAATTTGAATGCATAGGTCTCACGATTTTGAATATTTTATGCTATGAAAAGTCTTAACAAATTGATTGACAATTATTATTTATGCTATAAAAATCTAGTTATGTCTATCAAAAGACAGGTTTTATAGGCATACCTATCTAATATAAAAGGATAAGGGATTAGGGACATGCGTTTTTTAAATCAGGTACATACCTACATTTCAAATGTAGGTATTAATTATTATTAAAGAAGTGTATTTTTTCTCTCCACCTCCTAGAACTCGCGATATTAAATATAGAACTATTGAAGAAACAAATTAAAAACGTAATAAAAGTTAGGAAGAATCATTAGAAAAAACTACTGACTAATTATGGACTGTACAGCGAGTATGGACATGACTTTCCAAACCGTGCGTCACAGGAATAGTAGATCTTCACTCAACGGTAAATTCTTATAAAACCAATGGTAGATGCAACTCAACAAAATGAAACTTAGTTGCGTCATCATATATTGTGTAGGTATTATTATTTGTTACACATGTTACACTTGTTCCACATTTTAATCAAATTTTCAGGAACAAAATGGGAAACAACCCTACCGCTCTTTGTCTTTGAGAAAAAAGTTGTTTTGTTTAAGATATTCCACTGAAATTTTGCTTGCTTTGAGTTGCATTTCATGTCGGTACATTTTTTGTGCAATTTTAGTTAAAAAAAAAAACAGAAACACAAACGGAATTTTACAGTGGTCATTTCTTTAGTTATTTTCTGTTATAAAATTTTTATTTTGGGCTTAATTCTGGTGATATTGGAACTTTTTTGAATATACGATCGGAAATATCAACTTTGGTAAGAGTTTCCGATAAAATTCTTGTAATTTAGTTAATCTATTTGAATAATTTTTCGAGATTAAGTTAACCGCATTTCAATATTCGAACAAGATAAAAATAAAAATGTCTGTTACCTTCACGAATGCACATTTGGATTCTATTAATGAAAGAGATTATAAAAAACTTACAATTTTAACATTGGTGGATAGTGCGGGGGATTCTGGATTGCCACCCCCCGTAGGAAATTTCATCTTAAAAAAAATTAATTTTAAATTTAGGCTGTGTATAGCGAATAGTCGGACAAGTTCGGTCAAACTTCTTTAGTCAAACAATTCGCTGAATGGCCTTTGTCGAATATTTGTCGGCTGAACACAGGCTTAGTTTACAATGTTTTATAGACAATTAAATATATTAGCCTTATGAAATACATTAAAAAGGAAATGTTAAATTTGTCGTCCCTAAATCTGTAAAGTGTTTACAACGGTAGTCATGGTTACCGTTGTGCAGGAGTGAAATACGGAGTGGGAGTAACGTATATTTCTATACAGTTTGGGCTCTGTTTAGTTCGCCCGCAACCAAGTAATAGCTGTTGGCGGCTTTTTTTCATATTAAACGTAGGTAATTGGTTTACCTATGTGTGTAAAATTTTGTTACCTACGTATATTTTCTTGTGTTTTTGTAAAATTTAAATTAGACTAACAATACTTGCAGTGCTATCTATTAAAAAATCAATGGTGCAAGAAATACCCAACTTTAATAAATAAGTAATTTAAAAGTTTATTTCGGGCAAAAGCACAAGAATGGACTTTCATTATAAAAAATACTGTTTTCTTTATATTTCCTTGGTATGGAAGTCAAGAGCCGCCACTGAGTTTTAACCACCTGCATTGTGTTCACAATTGTCAAACTGTAACAATATATCTTGTGCTAAAGACAAATAAATAAAAAAACGTTCAAAAATCTTAATTGCAAAGATAATTTGACTGTTAAGCAGAAACATACAAATCAAGGAAGGAAGTTACCATATCTTGTAAACACTAAGTTAACATTTTACAATAGCAAAAATAGTATAAGAAAGAAAAGGTTGATCCAAAACACAACCATTTCGACGCACTTTATTATAATATAAAAGACTTAAAAAGTAACAATAAATTGGTAGTATCTCAATTAGCGACAATTAAAAATAGGGATCGTTATAAGTTATAGGTTTAGCCAAATATTGTGCACGTTTGCGCTATTTGTGTTTCGATTCGGTTAAAATGATTTTAAGCAATAAACTAAGTTTGTGCGTGTGCTCTCGTTCTTCCTATGTGGGATATAGAGGAATTACGGTTCAGCCCGCATCGCGCATCGCCGCCGTCCACTGAGTCGCTCTATAGCCGTTCATTATCAAAATTCTGCTCCTGAGTCGATACTGACTTGACCTTTTATAAGTACCGGATTTTCAAAAAATCTCAAAAATTAGTTTTTTTGAGATATGTTTTTCCTTGATTCAGGGTTTTAGGGTACTGTTAACTATACTTTAACTGAAAATAACTTTGATTTCTGTTAATATTACTACGAAAAACACCGAAGAACCAACCTCATATTATTGTAGCCGTAGCGGTTAACTTCTAAATATCAACGCGAGTGCGAAAATTTCGTATATGTACACCTTAACATCCTTAGCAGAATTAATGAACGGGATGAAACACGACTATCACTCTTTACCTGCTGCCATCACTGTAGGCAAGCCTCTTAGAGGGCCCCTCCTCCTGTCTCGGCTAAGCATGAATGCAGCGAAGTGAGAGAAACTGTAAAGTAGTAGCTTCACTATTTGCCTTTTGTATAGATAGACAAGCTCATTCTCGCTATTCTTAAGACTAATAATAAGAATACCTACGTTAGTGCCGCTAACTTCTCTAACAACCGACGTTATCTTGGTCTAAGCAGAAAAACTGGCGGTATTTTTTTGCAATTAAAAGTGCCTGAGAGAAAGGCACCATATGCAGGTGGGTAGAGGAATGCTTTCCAGGTTCTGGAGAAAAGGTCAACCGAGCAGCATCAGGAATTGCTTCATGTTCTGAAAAGTCAAGATTCAGGCATGGGCGTAGGTATGGCCTTGAGGGGCTAGCTGGTAAGTCGACTAGTCCAATCAAAATATGATATTATTGGATTGTTTATTTTTCTGAGGTAGGCATCGGACTCTGTAGGAGGGGCCGTGCCCACCCCTGCCCCCTTAGCTACGCGCCTGAGGCCAGGTTAACGAAAAAAGTCATTGCCAGCCTCCCGCAATTTTCCGGTTATCAGAGGACTGTCAGACGAAATCTTCAACCCTATTCTATTTTAGGTTGGTGAGCGCGGAAACAAGAATAACGATACCCCTAGTCTTGATTCAAGTCCCATACCAAGAGGAGGGCATCCTAAAAATAAGTAGTCAAGGCGCAGAGGGCCAAGACCGAACCCACTCAATGCCACCGCTGCCGACGCACCGCAAGCCACCATGGCTTAGCTACCCCAAGCAGACAGCAAAGAAAAAGACGACCGGCAGGTAGCGCAAAAAAGAGCTTTCGAAAGTAAACGTGCACACACTGTTAGGATTCCTGGTTGTCATATGTACAGGAAGGAGAGGAGCAGGAATGGAGTAAGAGTGGTTCCGTTTATAAAAAGAGGTATAGATTACCATATGTTGCATGTTGCATGTCTCCCGACTGCTGCTCACCAATTACGACCTGCGAGTAGTCCTAGATATGTAACCGCAAATTATGGCCATCGGGAACATTAACGCCAAATCGCCCGAGTAAAAGAGGCAGTGGCAGCGTACTTTTTCAATATTTGCAGGATTATGAGGACGTGACGGCGGGGGTAGGGGTCCGACGAGCCGATGTATTATGGTGCCATTGGAAGACAAGAAGTGACGGATTTCTAGTTGCTCAGGGCAATACCGTTCGTGGTCGACCTAACGACGCACCAGGAGGAAAAGATTACCTCTAAAAGACCAGTAGAGCAGCAAGGAAGCCGTTACCAAGAAGCGGATTGACTGGGGGCAGTTCCGCACAGAAATGCAATTGATTTGTAGTAAAAACAAAAGTAACCGACTACTACACTGTACTTCTACAAATAATAATCCCAACCAACAATAATACTAATTATATAAATACCACTAAAATATGTAAAAAAATTAACTACAAAAAGCTCGAAGAAAACATGGCAAATGTTGACTTTCCCAAAGTTTATAATATGGGCGACATTGAATCTGGCACCAAGAAATTCTTGGGAATATTAACAAGTGAGGTTCAAAAATGCATCTTTACTTTTACTCTGCCAAAAACGAAGAGAAAACGGAAAAACTGGATAACAAATGGCATTATTAAGTCAATCAACGAGAGAGATAAAATGTATCATCGACTGCAGCATGCCTTCGATCAGAATTTAAAAACACGATACACTGCTTATAGAAACCACTTAAATGTCCTAATCAAAACTGCTAAAGCAGATTTTTATAAACATCAAATTGCACAAAAAAAGAATAATAGCAAAGCACTGTGGGAAACTGTACAGGAGCTGACCTCTCCAAAAACTAGTATGGCATCGAGCCCTGAATATGT